TCTATCTCTATCTCTATCTCTATCTCTATCTCTATCTCTATCTCTATCTCTATCTCTATCTCTATCTCTATCTCTCTCTATCTCTGTGACCCCTTTCCTGTTCCTTCCTGAGATGTTGAGGCCAGAAGTCTACAAGCTTTTCTCTGTAAAGCCCCAGAAAAAAGTATTTCAGGCTTTGCAGGCCATACTGCCAGCCATAGATTATATATAAATGAATGTGCACAGCTATATTCCAAAAGAAAATGTATTTATGGGCACTACAGCTTGAATTTCACATAACTTCTTTATGCGTGTCAAGGAATTCATCTTTTGTTCTCAACCCAAAGACAGCAGAAAGGACTTGGCTCACAGAGTTGTTAATTATAAATTACCTGCAGCTGTTTTGCTCCTTTCTCAGTGAAGGGGACAGTTTCATAGGGTTCCTTCGGGTCTCCACGACAGGAAAGCTATTGCTGATTGCCCCTCCTGCCCGGTTGTGTACACACTTTTTGGGGGGAGCCTTGGGGAGGTCTTTATTTAATGATGCTTTGTCTCAGTCTCTGCCAGGAAGTGGGGTGATGTGCATACTTTTTTATCAGAAGTTGTTTGTGATAACTGGTCCCCACCAGCATTGAATTAGCATCAGATTATTCTCTTGTTCTCTCTCTCTCTCTCTCTCTCTCTCTCTCTCTCTCTCTCTCTCTCTCATAACAACAATGATAGTAGCATGTTTTTGTTTTGTTTTGCTTTGTTTTTGAGACAAAGTCTTGCTGTGTGATTCAGGCTGGCCTTGAAGTCACTATATAGCCCAAGCTGGCCTTGAACTTGTAGCAGTCCTCCTGCTTCAGCCTCCAAGTGCTGGGGTTACAGCCATACATCACCCATGATGCCCTGCAACAGTAACATGGATTTTTTTTTTTAATATTTATTTTGTGTGTGTGTGTATGTGTGTGTGTGGCCAGCTCAGCCCACCAGGGGGTGGGGGCTGGCTGGAATGTGGTGCTGGGGAATTGAACCGTGGTCCCTGTGCTTTACTAAGCTTGTTCTAAGTAGGTGCTTTAGACCACTGAGCCATCTCACCAGCCCCATGATTCTTTTTTTTCCCATAAATCTTTATTCATTGATTGCTTGATTGTGGTGGCACTCCACCCCAGGTCTTTATACTTGCTGGGTAACTACTGTTCTATTGGGCCATTCTGCCAGGCTTTCATTCTTATTTCTTTCTTTCTTTTTTTTTTTTTTTTTTTTTGGCAGAACTGGAGGTTTGGGTTTTTTTTGGTGGAACCGGGGATTGAACTCAGGCCCTTGCACTTGCCAGGGAAGCAGTTATTCCACTGAGCCATCTGCCTGGCCCCTGTAAATGATTCTGAGGTTCAAAAAGTAAGCAAATTTGGGGCTGGTGAGATGGTTCGGTGGTCTGAAGCACCTACTTAGAACAAGCTTAGCAAAGCACAGGGACCACGGTTCAATCCCCAGCACCACATGCCGGCCAGCCCCGCCGCACACACACACACACACACACACACACACACATAAATAAAAAGTAAGCAAATTCTCAAGGTTGAGTGGCCTATAAAGGGTGCAGACCCAACAAAACTGACGGACTTCATAGCCACTATTGTACCCTAAAGAAATTATATAGCCACGTGTGCTGGTACACACCTATAATCCCACCATTCTAAGAGGCTGAGGCAGGAGGTTTGGGAATTTGAACCTAGACTGGATAATTTAG